AAACTTATTTTTTAATTATCAAATTATTTATATAATAAAAATATAAGTTGTATTTATAATTATAAAATATGTGAAGTATGTTAATGTTTTTATTTCGTTTTTTTTTTTGTTGAAAATACATAGTAGATATATATATATAATATAAAAAAATAATATTTTTTATAAATTATAAATTTGACCCAGTGACTCAATTGAACCATATTAAAATTTTGGAAATTGCAATCAAATCCCTAAGAGTTACTATATTTTCAAGGTCAAGCCCCTACAGACTCTACACATAGGAGCTGCGACGGTCTGTCATTTTTCGTTGCACCTTCACCACTGGCGGTTCGGCAACATTCACTGACTGCCTCCACAATGGAGATTAGAAATGATTGACGTTTGGGGTGGAATTGTCTTGTTGCGAGGGGATGGGTCGGGCCGATCGGTGTTGAAGTAGTCGGAGTGAGTATTGTAAATACCGTATCGGAGGTCATATCGGTCTAGCCACCAATACGCGGTATTACCGGTCGGACCGGTAATATCGGTGGTATTACCGGATTAGCAAATATATTAATGATATTATATAAATATACATAAAAATATATAATACCAAATGCAAAAAAGTAAAAAAATAAATGACTATAATCATTAATTTCAACTTTTCAATGACATAAAAAATAAAACATTCTAACAATATTTATGTTTTTGAATTAATAAAATTTTTTAATTCTTTTTTTGTTGACCGGTATTTTTTGGTATTTATGGTATGATCCCGGTGCAAACCGGTATAACCGTGTAAATCTAGTATTTTGTGTGTAATTGTACCGTACCAATCATAAATTATACCTGTGTGGCACCTATTAAATTATACTACATGGCATCTACGCGGCGTTTTTCCTCTAATAACCGTTAAAATTAATTATTATTATTATTATTATTATTATTATTATTATTATTATTATTATTATTATTATTATTATTATTATTGTTGTTGTTGTTGTTGTTGTTGTTGTTGTTGTTGTTTTTCATTTTTTACATTAATTCACCATATCCCATTAATGATAAAATATGTTCTTGCACTTTTTTCCAGTTATTTAAGATAAAAACTATTATACTTTATTTTAATTGAGTAATAATTATATTTTTTATTGTATCATATAATAGTTATAATTAAATTAATAATTATATTTTATACTAAACGATATATGAAATTTAAATAAACATAAAAATATATATTGTAAAGACTTTTTGTTCAAGTTATTTATTCTAAAATCAATATTATATTTTTTATCTGATTAAGCAATTTTAAAATTAATTTGTTTTAATGTCATAGTAAAATTACTTAAAAGCATAAGCAATTGTTATAATAAATTAATATTTTTCACCTAATTAATTGGTCATCATTCCTCAACTTTACAAAAATTACATTATTTATTACATTTATGCAATCAATATAGTGATTCGTATGCAATTAAATCGTTATGTATTATTTCTTTTAATCAATGATCAAATTTTAAAACATAATACCATTATCTAACTTATAATTTAATATTATATGCATAAGTTTAACTCATAATACTCTATGTTTAAAATATAATATCATTATCTAACTTATAATTTTAGTATTATATGCAATAAAAATAACTTATAATATTTTATTTACATTTGTGCAAATGAACAGTTGAACACTAGTTGAGAATATATATATATATATATATATATATATATATTTACTGGCTCATGAGAATTTAATAAAACCTATTAAATTATACCTATGTGGTAATATAACTTTTTCCCTAAAAAACCGTTACTTTTTATTTATTTAACCTCTCATTTAATTGTTAGATAATCAACACACTAATCGCTTCAAAATTACAAAAATCATTTTAAACTTTTGATTTACTTACAGCTGACCATATAATGTGTTGAGTATTTAACGTGATTAGGGTTATTGTTGTGGTTACATTTAAATTAACTTCTTTTGGAAAATAAAAAACGTATCTGAAATTCTTAAATAAATAATAAATAATTCACCAAAAAAATACATACGAAAATATATATTACATCCAATATGATAAACGCAATTTCAAAAAATAAATATTCCGACTCCTTTAATTGTAAATTTGGCCTGCAAAAAATTTCAAGAAAAATCATTAATCATTATATGCATACAAATAACTCACAATATTTTATTTATATATGTGCAAATGCACATGGCCAATACTAGTGATATTCTTACTATCATTAAATTCTCTTTATTTCCCTATGCAAAACTTCGGTAATAATTAGGTGTACACGACATCTATAGGGTTTTGAATTTTAGACATTAGCCCATCAGAAGATGTGAATAATATCATTTAATAATTGGGATTGTTATGACTTATGGGCGTAACTGAATACAAATATTATCCTGTCTTGATTGATTTTATAAATTTTTTATATTTTTTAACTTAAATTCAACTCAAATTTAATCCAACGAAACTCTCCTTAATATTACTAATATAATTAAACAATATAATCAATATTTTCACACATTACATCAACTTTAATTCATCATTTATTCACTTACATATTTTTAACTACCTATCATTGTAAATAATATATCTCATTCTTTTACATTACATTAACTTTAATCATTGTATTTTAAATATTATTTAAATACAAACTTAAAATTTTATTTAATTAATAAACTTTATTCAATATTAACTCATTTTAACCAATAAATCAAATCAAAACCGATTGTATTTATATTCAGCCCAGCACAATAGATTTCCTCTCATTTTCATATATTGATTAGCTAGGGTTCGCAAAAGTGTCCCTATTTCTTTTTTCATGTTATTATTAAATGTCTAACTTTAGAAATCCATCAATAGTCATACCATTGATTTTTTTTTCTTTTCTTCAAGTAATTATCGTTCAAAAAGAAGGAATATTTGTTTCAAGTGTTCATGTATGTTGCGTGACATGTGGACTGGCAAGTCCAGATGTGAACATGTATATTTTATAGAGTTGTGACATGCCTCATAACTTTAGGAAACTAAGAAAAATAACAATAACGCGTGACTATTAAAGTCATTGGAGACAAAGAAAAAGGACCAAATGAGCTCTCAGTATAATTTCCAAATTTCAATATAACATAACTAGCTATATCTATCGACCAATAAATGACTGCCAACAAAGTGATCTATAATAAGTCTTTGTGGGATTTAACACAAATTTAGAACAAGTGACAAACTCCTAGAATGCGTGACTGAGACGTTTAC